TTTGAGATGAAAGATTTGGGTTTGCTTAGCTACTTCCTTGGCTTGGAAATTTCTCATGATCCTTCTGGTTACTTTCTCACCCAGGCCAAGTATACCATTGATCTCTTGGCTCATGCTGGTCTTACTAATTACAAGACTGCCTCTACCCCAGTTGATCATCCTCAGACTGGTCTCACACCTCTTGATAGTCACCTATTATCTGATGTTATTTTATATTGTCTGTTAGTAGGCAGTCTTGTCTATCTCACAGTTACTCGTCCAAGCATTGCTTATGCAATTCACATTGTCAATCAGTTCATGGCTGCTCCTCGTTCTCCGCATTATAATGCTTTGGTTCGCATTTTGTACTATCTCAAAGGAACTATGTTTCATGGTCTTCACTACTCCGCATACTCATCTATACAGTTACACACATTTTCTGATGCAGATTGGGTAGGGGATCCCATTGATCGTCGTTCTACTATAGGATTATGTTTCTTCTTGGGTGATTGTCTTATTTCCTGGCGTAGCAAGACGCAAACTCTTGTTGCTCGTTCTAGTACTGAGGCTAAGTATCGTGCTTTTGCTGACACTACTTAGGAACTTTTATGGCTTCGCTGACTCCTTACTGATATAGTTGTTTTTTTCCCTGGTGCCACCTCTCTTTATTGTGACAATCAAAGTGCCATTCAGATTGCTCACAATGATATCTTCAATGATCGCACCAAACATGTTGAGATTGATTGTCATTTCATTCGACAGCATGTTATACGTAGTACTGTTCATTTTCTTCCTATTTCTTCTGCTGATCAACCTACTGATATTTACACCAAGGCTCATCCCCCTAGTCGTTTCGGTGATCTAGTTTCCAAACTCAAGGTGGGTAAGCTCAAGTTGGTTGATGCTTACCCACCTTGAGTTTGAGAGGAGGCTGTTAATGCATATATTAGATACATAATAAGCTTGAAAATCAGTCAAGGCATGGTCAATACATACTCAAACTATATGCTCCCTCAAGAGGCTAAAAATGGCCCTTTTCAAGGACAACAAGGAGAGGGGGTGGCCCTCTCCTTCTTGGGACCTCAAGGCACCATCCTCACCACTGAAATCCCTCAAGATTTCAGTGGTGAGGAGGCCCAAACAGTATGGTCCCGGAGCTCACCAAAAAAGGCACAAAATGGGGCTAAACAAGCCTTAAGAGGGGTCAAACAACCTCAAACACCAAAACACTCTTAAACAACTATTTAGAGCAAGCAAAAACAAAACTTTTATATGTTATACACCAAGTCTAAAAAATAGTTTTAAGGTAGTCAAAAGAGCTATGCAAAAATGGGGTAAAAAGGGACAAATTTCTTACCCTTGTAGACCCTCTTCACCAATGAAGCTCCAGTAGCTTCTTTGGCTCCAAACCAGCTCCAAGAACACTTCTCTGGCCCTCAGCAACCAAGAAAAGGTGTGATACTATGTGTTTGTGTGCAATAATAAGACCAAACACACACTTAGAGCTAAAGAGAGGGAGAAATAGAGATAGGATGGATACAACACTCAAACCCTAAAACTCAAAGCTCTCTGAAAATGTTGTCTAACCTAGAGGAGGGAGAAGAGCCTCCCTCTTATTGGAGTTCCCTCTTGTAAGGCTTCTAAAACAAGCCATCCAAGAGAGAAATCTCTCCATATACGTGTATGGAGGGGAGCAGAGTGGGTGCTAGTTATCACAGCTGGCACAAAAATATCTGCAAAAGCAGATGAACAGTGGTCGGCCAGTCAAAAATACAATTTGACCAAAATAGATGGCCGGTCGACCATCCATAGTGCCGGTCGGCCAAATATTTGGCCGTGGCAACAAAACACATCTTGTGGCTTCAAGCCGTGGCCGGTGGAGTGTGGGGATGACCAACAAGCCATTCCTTGCCCTCCAAAGCAAAAACACAAGTGTTTGGTGCAAAACCAGACACAAAACAGTCGAGTCGAGAGATTCTGAGGCAAGGCGTGCAGCCGAGGCCTCCGGGAACTCAAGACGAACACAAACATGGATAATTACCGAGTGTTCACGCGGTGACGTCCAAGTCTTGAGGACGGTCAAAAATGGGGTGTCTACAGTTGCCTCTCTTTGACAGAACTCGAAAGTCGTAAGTGACGGGAGTGAATGTCGAAGTCCAGAGACGACCCATTTTTGACAAGGTCGAAGACTCAGACAAACATGCAAGACAAACAAGATATGCGCCCAAAGGCGGGGGCAAGATGCAAGACAATGCACAGAGCCGGACATAACTTATGATCATGCAAAGAAAGCTATAACGAAGCATAACATGCGATAGTTTTAAGCTAGCATACACCAAACTACACTACAATGCAGAAAGGCTGTAAGAGAATTATGTAATTCTCGATACGTCTCACTCGGAGAATACAATACCTGCGCGGTTCTTCTGGTTGCACCAGCTTCAAATGAACCGTACATACAATAACCTGCCTGGAAGAAAGAAAGCTTAACAGGTACAGATATTGTTAGCAGTATGCAAAATGAATGATATGATATGCGATATACAAAACTATGTATAGTAATGCAGATGAAAATACAATGCAATTGAATCATAATCAAATCATGAGCGGTTCAAAACCACACAAATGTCAAATAGATTGGTGGAGGTAACAAGTCCGTCTACCATAGAAAAGGTGCCGCAACCCTCAAACCAACATACCAACGTGGAATAGGCGCGTACACATGCAAAACTATGAGTGATGTAGACGGAAACAAGAACAGGTAATTGGGTGGGATGACATAGGTGGGGAAATGACCCGCTGAAGAAAGACCAATGATTGTAGACGGCGCCCGCGTGGGCCTCGCTGCTACAGTTCGGACTCGATTTTTTGTTGTCGCGGTTCTTAATCTGAACCAAAGAGTTCAAATCTGGCAAATTGTTTTGAGAAACAGATTTTTGAGAAGTAGTGCCAAACATGGACTGCTTTGCCAGATACAGAGTCGCCACCTAAATATTTTTAAAATGGGGAAATTTAGGAAACCCTGACTCGGTGCCGAAGGCCACATGTCCGTCATCACCGGAGTTGTCTCGGCTCGGGAGCTTGGGTACGATCGGGGAAGGTAATGGAATGGAATATTTACAATGGATAAGGCGCGCGGGCGAAACCAGATCTTGCCTAGGAAAGACATGTACTCAAACAAACCGCATCTAACACAAAAACGGTGCCGCCACCCTCAAACCAAGTTCATCAAGGAATAGGCGCGTACACATGCAGAACTGTGCTTCTATGTGAAAAGTATGAGCACATACCAAACCAAGCTCAACAAGGAAAGGCGTAAGCCATGGATGGAGGGTGATGCAATGAATGCACGCAAGCTACAATGCAATATTTACGATATGCAATGGAATGGATATTTACAGCGGAAATGCATGACATATGCATTATATTACAGTGAAATGCATGACATATGCATTATATACAATGATGCACGACATATGCACTATCTACAATGATGCATGACATATGCATTATTTACAATGTAATGCATGACATATGCGGTATTTACAATGATGCATGACATATGCACTATTTTTTGATGAAATGCGAATGATGCATGTTGCTTTTTTGAAATGCGCGACAGCACACGGCATAGGACGCGTGATAATACATGAACTTTAAATGCGCGGCAACGCGCGGTTATTGAGATACATGACAATGTAAATGGACTGTGCACATCAATGCACTAAAGGTCTTGCACCTTCTAAGGATTTAAGGTCTCCTAGACCGTCGTATGTACAGGACGGTGTGATGCGCAAACATGCAAAATGCAATGAGATACGCAAGATAGCGCGATTGAATGCATGCAAAATGCAATGAGATGCGCAAGATAGCGCGATTGAATGCATTCAAAATGCAATAAGATACGCAAAACAGCGCGATGCGTTAGACAACGCGAGTGCACAAGATAGTGCGATGCGCAAGATAGCGCGATGGAATGCATGCAAAATGAAATGAGATGTGCAAAATAGCGCGATTGAATGCATGCAAAATGCAATAAGATACGCAAAACAGCGCGATGTGTTAGACAACGCGAGTGCACAACACAGTGCGATGCGCAAGATAGCGCGATGGAATGCATGCAAAATGCAATAAGATGCGCAAAATAGCGCGATGCGTTGGACAACGCGAGTGCACAAGACAGTGCGATGCGCAAGATAGCGCGATGGAATGCATGCAAAATGCAATAAGATGC